CTCGAGCTGTTGCTAAAAGTCAGAGGTGCGAGGCCCCTTCGTTTCTGATGTAGCATCAGAGCGGGGAGGAAGTGTCTTATCGCAGCTCTTATCTGACTCTTTTCTAAGGGCTTCTGACAGTTGTTCTGGAAGGAGAAAGGACGGTCGGTGCGTTATCAGAGACTTTAAACAGTGCTATCACTTATCGGCCAGAGCTGTTGTACTCGTGATTACTTGGTCTCATGACCCATCACGTCACCTATCGCACTGTAGATGCAGGTACTGCCCCTAAGGCACACGCTGGACTGAGCTGCACCTACTGGCTGCTTGGCGCTGTCCCTCGGTGCCATCCTCCCGCTCCTTTCGTCAGGTTGCGGGTTTAGCGCTCTCTGTGCGGCGTCACCACCTGCCCTTGCCGCTCCGATACATGGAGCTCTGCTGCTGGCGGCGGCTGCTATTGCTTGATCGATGCTTGCTGATGCTGCTGATGCTGCTGATGCCGCTGATGCTGCTGTTCATGCCTTTTGGGTGCCGTGCATGCCATTTTTACGTACCTTTCTGGGGCCTGCAGTTTCGCCTTCATCTCTCTCTTCATCCTCTTTTATCCACCGCCATTTCCAAATTCTTTGTTTATTTGCTGGAGGAGAAAGAGAGAGAGGAGAGAGAGAACATTGCCCCCGAATCGAACAAACCTTCGTCTCTATCTACTCCGTTCCGCGTCTGGGTTGCACCTTTTCTTTTTTTCCGTGCTCGTCTTGCCGATTCGCTACCCATCTCCGATACGGCAACGTCCACAGTATTTCATACTATCCAGACCACCTACCCACTATCGCCTCTCAATATATTCCCAATAGACGCGAAAAGGAAGGGTTCGATTCCATCTGCAGAGTCTCATCTTCCATCGCATACGTATCTGTACACTGCGGCGCGCTGCGCACGAGTCGGACGACTGAAACGAAACAGACACGCGCGCTCACGCTTTGGAACCACCTCGCCTACGAATACCTTACCTGTCCAAACAAACGTACCCGCAACAACGGCTATCGCATCGCACCAGCGGTAGCATCTTTTCACTTCGACCCGGAGTCGAGCAACTCAAAGGAAAACCTTACCCTGCCATCTATAAACCACCTCTGGATCTCGACTGCAACCGCCAGATCTCTTGGGACTGCTACCTTACGTTGTAGTGTGGGTGTGCTTGTCTCTCACTGTTCGGTTTCTCTTTTTTGGCCGTTCCCATCTCGGCTTCGCAACCCCGCCAGCCGTTCTCGGCACCCCACCTTATCGCAGCCAAAGCCGCTATTTTTCGCCTGGGCGATTTCTTGGTGAACAGTACCTTTTACGCAGTACGCCGGCCGCCAAGCAGCAGTTAACCCAAAGGCGGAAAAAAGGGAAGCGTCGTCATCGGTTCCCAAACTCTCTCTCGCTCCTCCGAAAACCCACCGACCGGCGCGGGCTTGTTTGAACCTCTCGCCCATCCTCCACAACCAACCCAACCAACCAGCCCCTTGTCTCCGATCTCGAGACTGCAACCATGGCTGCTGCAGTTGCGCACGATACGCCTGAGGAGCCTCAGAGCGATGGCTCGAAGCTCAAGACCTTTATTGGCATTCTGAAGAAGTGAGTCTGTCCCGTGGTGGTTGGCGTCGTCTGGCAGTTTTTCCTGCATGCGCAGTGCTTTGGAAATGAGGAGGCGAGTTTCTCTGCCTCGCGGGCGGGGTGTGGTGCGTTGGCTGATGGGCGACGATCCCTGGAGGGGTAAACCTGCGGTCGTCACCTCATCAGACCCCCAAAGCTCCAGAGCCAGACGGACGAGACTCATCAGGAAATTGGAATTCAAGCTGACGGCCTCTTACTTTCAGGTTTATTGGTGTCGCCGACCTTGCTGCCGTCCGCTTCTCTCTTCCGTCCCAACTCCTCGAGCCGACACCGAATCTCGAATACTGGAATTACCTCGATGCGCCCAACGCCTTTGTTGCTATTGGTACCGCGGACGAGCCCCTCGATCGTATGCTCGAGGTCTGCCGGTTCTGGTTCACAAAGGATCTGAAGTACGTCAAGGGAAAGCCTTGCAAACCATACAACTCGTGTTTGGGAGAGTTCTTTAGGGTGAGTTGCTGCCGTTCCTTTCGCCGCGCAACATGCGCCTGTCATGGTTTGTGACGCTGATCGTGAGGATGTGACTAGTGTAATTGGGAAACCGAAGATAATGCTCCCAAGATCAACACGACGGCCCTCGGCAGCGGCGCGGCCAGCAGCTCGTCAAGCTTCAAGTCGGCCAAGGCAGACAAGAACGCCTCGGCCGTTTCCCTCTCCGTTCCTCAACACGGCAACACGACGGCCGAGAACAAGCCTCTCCGCATCTCATACCTAACCGAGCAGACCTCCCATCACCCGCCTGTAAGCGCGTTCCACATCAGCTGTCCCGAGCGGGGCCTCTCTGCTCGCGGCTTCGACCAGATCACGGCAAAATTCACGGGTACTAGTGTTCGCGTGTTGCCTGGTGAGCACAACCTCGGTATCTTTGTCACACTCGAAAAGCGCGGCGGCGAGACGTATCGCCTCACTCACCCCGCGGCGCATCTCGGTGGCATCCTCAGGGGAAGCTTGAGCGTCAGCGTCAGTGAGATGGCGTACATTACGTGCCCGGAGACCAAGCTCAAGACGATTCTGCACTACATTGAAGCTGGGTGGCTCGGCCGATCTACGAACCGCGTCGAGGGCATCATCTTCAAGTACGATCCCGAGAACGATAACAAGGTCAACATCAAGGATGTTCCGGAGGCCGATATTGTCGCCCGCCTCAGCGGTCCGTGGCGCGAGAAGATTGAGTTTACCCTCGGCCCTAAGCCAGTGGTATGTACCCTCCCCGTCTCCCTTCACCCCCATCTGTCGCATGAATACTGACCACAATATACAGAACTCTCATCCTGTCGAAGCCCGCTACACAATCATCGATCTCGCACCCCTCAATGTCGCACCCAAGGTGCTGCCCCCGAAGGAGAAGCAGCTCGAGAACGAATCCCTGACTATGTGGGGTGGCGTCACCGAAGCTATCCACGCGAAGCAGTTCTCCAAGGCGACGCAGGTCAAGGTCGAGCTCGAGGAGCGGCAGCGAGAGCTGGCGCGTGAGCGCGAGCGCACGGGTGAGGTCTTCAAGCCCGCCTTCTTCGAGCAGGTAACGGACACGGGTGGCAAGCCCGAGTTGACGGATAAGGGAAAAGAGGTGCTCGCGAGAGCGCAGAAGGGGGAGTGGGACATGAGCGATATCATTGTTGTAGAAGCTCCGGCTGCGGCTGCGGCTGCGGCTGAGACTCCAGCTGTGGAGAGCAAGTAAATGCCAGTGCTGGGGGGGGGAAATTAATTGGATTAGAAGTCATACTGAGCGCCTGGGAGCTGCATCCGGCCATCCCTCCTTTTCTTTTTTTTTTTCTTTTTTTTTTGTTGGAAACTCTTCTTCTCTCTCTCTTTCTCGGGTTGCTTTGGATTTGTTGACCTCTCGATCTTTTCCTTAACGGCCGATGGCATGACTTGTCCAACTCGGTCCCCAGTTTCGAAGGATGCATCGTTCAGTTTGCTTTTACAGGTTCTCTTGCTCGGGGTGTTATTTTCCCTGTTTATTCATCATCCCTCGCTTGAAGAATTCTTGCACAGACAATGAGGGCGGGAGGTTTTTGCGTTGCATGATGTGTGGGAGGGGAAGAGAAGAGGGAGATTTCTTTGCATTGTTCGCTTCTGTGGGACATTGCACTCATACACACACAGACACACACACACAAGCCTTTCTATGGAAGGTCGGCGTTGGGATTTTAGATGGTATTCTTGCTTGAGGTTTATAGTAATACACTTCATCAACACTTGATCTAGTATGAATGCGACTTGGGAGGATGAGTGACTAGCCTGGAGGACATGTGATATGTTTGCGTGTGTAGCTGTGAGAGGACTGGGCTTGAGAGGAATGCGGGTTTTGAAGTCGATCTGAACAGGAGGGGCGACAAGATTCGAAGGGGGAGAAGAAAAAGGTAATCCTTGAGATGGGCAGTCTCAACTCAGCCAAGCGCTACTGCTTCCCTTGTTTTCTGTAAGAAACTCTGCCAATATTTCACTCGAAGAAGAGGGGAAGAAAGCTTGTGGGAGTTGGTGTTGGGACGGCATGTTCGCTTTCGGATGACGGAGGTGACGCAGAGCGTTTTGATGTGGTACCGGGCGCCGAGCCGAGTTTTGGGTTCGGCTCCGTGCGGTTCGGCCCCGCTTTCGGGAAGGGGGGGGGGGATTCGGGGGTTTGGGGACGTCTTGGTGGTGGCACTCGACGCCGCACAAGCACGTATTGCAATTCCCTGGTGGCTTTCAAGCTGTAAAATCTTTGGTCAAAGGATTTTGTCTGTATTTTCGTGATGAGAATGGCAGTGTACACCTAATAATTGATGAGGTACTCATCTCATACACTCTCAAGGACCTACTGATAAGGAGGGCGTACCAGCATTAAAGATCTCTGATGAAGGATAATGGACAATGATGCAAGTAAAATATCTTTGTCTCTTGGTCAACGATTATCGACTTGAATCTCAAGGCGGCAGGGACAATCACTTTGTTTCCCTGGGTTACAAAGACCAAGCTCGTTGATTGTAACCGTGAAAGGGGGCTTGAGGTAAAAATGACACGTAAAGTTGGAAGAAGCTTCACAACTAACCTACTACACTACAGATCTCTACAACAGCAGCAGCAAACTCTCAAGTACTAATATAGATCGTCCTTTTTCTACAGTCCCGGCTCATAGCACTCCTCAGGACTGGCTCCCGAGCTCACTTCACCTTTGTATCAGCATTAACTTCACCTTTCGACTTCACCTACCAAAATCCAATTCCTCAACACAAACTTCACATTCACTGGTCCGGACTGACTTCATTGCCTGTAGCAACCAATTCGCAAGCATTCCCAACCACACCTCTCTCCAGTCTAAGTTTCTCTTTCCTACTTCTCTACTCAACTCAGCTACCAACAACCAGCTAACTCTCCCAACCATGGCTGATCAGTCCCAGAACCAGCCCACCACCGAAGCAAGCGCCTCAAGAGTCGTCGTCCCCCTGGAACTATTCCTCGAGATCGCAGACCGCTACGTCGAATCCGCCTACGCCGAAGCAGAAACCGAAGCGCCCTCGACATGGCACGTCGAAGGATGCCCAGACGCCCTGGATTCAATCTACATCACCGACAACCACGCCTTCGACTACGCCTCCCAGACGAAGCGCTGGCGCCTCGTCAGCGACCTCGCCAACCTCCGCAGCAAACACGTCTCGGACATCGTCGACAAGACCTTTTGTAAGTTTCCGCGCCACCACCATGTCCCGCGTCACCACCGCACCCCCGCGAACGCCGTAGACTGGTCCGCGAACGCCGCAAACTGGGCGCGCCCGAGAAAGCCCGGCAACATCGTGTTCAGCATTGACATTGATACCGATCTCCTACCCAGACACGCCTACGTCCTCCCCGAAATCGACATCTTCGTCCTTGACTTCAAGGCCGCGGATAGACATAATAACGCAGATGGCGAGAACCCTGAACCCCTCGAGACCGCAATCCTAACCCTCTCGTCGGAGTCTGCCGACGGACCAATGCGCATGATCCGTAACGTCAGCAGCAGCTTGTCAAACCTAATGACAGCATCCAGCAAGCAAATCCGCGCCCTCGCGGCCCTGCCCGAGCTGAGACGCGTGCAGACGTGGTGCGCGATCCAGAGCCCCGTGCAGCCTGACAAGCCGCTGCACGATCACCGGGCGATTCTGCCTGTTGACCCTGCTATCTTGCCTGACCTCGCTGCGGAGTTGGCGCTGAGCGATACGCGGCTTTTGTTGTTGTGGGAGCCGTTGTTTGATGCTGGGGTAGAGATTACGATCCAGCCGAGGTATGCTAAGCGTGGGGAGATTGAGCTCGTTCGTACGGATGGGGGGCTGCGGACGAGGTTTGTTGAGGAGGAGTGTAAGTGCTATCGGATTGAACTGGAATAGAGAGAACGGCAAAGCTTACTATATGGTAGGGTAAGTTCTTTGGAGTTGGCGGGAGTGTCCTCTCCGGCTTGGTACTGGAACCTTGTTCATGTTGGTATATGGTGGTAGGTGGGAAGCGTCGGGATGGAAGAAGCTAGACTGCCTTGCCTTTTGATGTTCTTTGATACCCCAATTTGAATTCAGTTGCTCGCGAAGTCAAAGTCTGACATGCGAGGAGTGGTGTCTCTCCATACCAAGTGTCAAACGGGCCTACGTTGACGATGCGATAAGCGCCTTGCACCCTCTTCATACCGCCTCGTTTCGCGAGAATGCTGGCCGAGGCAGCCAGTTCTATACACTATAGAATTGGAGAGGCTAAGTGTGTCTACTCATCGAGTCACGTCCCTAAGATCACTGTACCAGATAGTAGGCAACACGCACTTGAGACACTCGACCAAGGTAGTTATGGACGGCCATTAGGATCTACGTACTCTCTATGTGTCGATGTAGCTGCAAGTATTCTATGGTAACGATGAACCAATTTCACACCTCGGCCATACCCAATGTAGAGCGATCCTGCCTTTCAATGTTGGAGGTCGTCAGGGTGTCTCGGATTATGCTTTCTACTCTGCTTGTTCCAGCCCCGAAAATTCAATTCTCTGTCCCGAGGGAAGCGCCAGGAACTCATTGCTTGGCTCAAATCATGAGAACCCTGCTCGTAAAGTTCGACAGCGCCACGAATCCTACCTGGGTATTGCTATGTTGAACGACTAGAAACTTTCTTCCGTTTCATACCACTACAGCAGCTCACCTCACCTCCATCTCCGTCATGTCGCAACATAGACGCCGTCGGTACAGGCAATACTAATGTCTACTGCACAGCGTCGACTAAATCCAACGCCACATTACTAATCTCCTTCGTCATCATCTATAACGCCTCTGAAAGATAAACATCGACCCGCAGCCAGAGTCACACGAGGACTGTATTCACCATGCGCTGGTCCACCAAGTTTTGCAATATCTTGGAGCGTATAAAATTCGGAATCAGAGGCGCCACTCTCCCAACCGGCGTCCTTCCGTATGAAATATGGCTCGCAATTGTCGACGCCGTGATTAACGATTTGGAATCGACAGTCAAGCCATTATCTTGGGTTGTGGTCGGATTCGAGTCCGAGCAGGTGACAGATATGATTCGCTGCCGCATGCTCGACAAAGGCAAACACCCCTGGTCTCACAGAATCGAGCATTTCTTGATTGACGAAGCTAGGAACTGGGAAAGGGGCAGAACCAGGCTTCGGCATAATGCCATGGAATTCCTGCGTAACTTTACACTAGTCGACCACAGAACTCGAGAGATCATAAACAGACGGTTACCACGATGCACATATTTCCGGATAGATTGGCATGATCGCGGCAGGCCGTTGACGTGGCCTTCGTCCATACGGGTCGTCCCGAGCGTTGACCAGTTTGCTTACTGTGTCAAATATCCAATTCCGCATGATCATATGGTCAAGTGCAGGACTCTTTTTCGCCTTTTCGAATACGGCGGTTGCGTGGGACCTTTCTCCCATGTCCAATCCATAAGCCTCTGTGCGGTTCTGCTCAGGCCCGGCTTGGTGCAAAAGCTTAGGCACCACTTTCAGTACTTGCAAAAGATGCCGAACTTGGAAAACGTAGAATTCAGAGCAAAAGGACGGTACATGGAATCGGATAAGACCGCTACTTATACGGTAGAGGACAATCTTATTACCTTCTTGCCTGAGAACTTGGACATGGTCGATATTGTTTCACTGTGGAGGTCACTCAAAGACCGAGGGGTGAGGTTCACCGTGAGCCATTCCAAGCCTTTGATCGAGTTTACTTGAAATCACCTTCACACATTATCGCAAGATCCCCTTTGTAGAACGGGAAGGGATGTTGTTGGAGAAAAAGGGTCGGATAAGACGACAAGAGAACCGAGGTATGTATGTGAAGAAGACGTACCCGGACATATTGATAGCATGTGCTAATGAGCAACGCAGTACTTGTCTTCGCCTGAGTCTTGACAAGCTAGGCAACAACCGGAGCCAGCTATGGAGTCTTTGGCTCCAAATAAACAAGCTTGGCTGGCAATCTACAGGGACAAGCTAGTGAGGCGCAATTGCTCGGATTACCGATGGCGTTCGAAGCTGCCTGAGAAGTATGACACTCGATATTTTGGAAGTATGCTGTGTATGGACGGCAGTCAAATGACCAGCTGCCCACGCGTTTCGACGAACTAAACCTCGACCAAGGCTGTACTCAGTACGCCTCACTGGCCTACGTCAGACGCGCGGACTGGGCAGACAAGGGCAAAAAAGAGATTCCGGTCCAGCGAGATGATCAGTAGATTAATAAACTTGTTGATACGAGATCTGGGCGAAGCGACTCGACTCAGCCGCACTGGATGGATACCGCCGCCTGCAAAACCACCTGGGGATAAGCGGCTAGGTTCCCTTCTCCCTCTCGCGCGGCTGATTCAGCGTTTACGCGTCTCCTTGCCACTTCGCTTACTGAACTCTGAATTGAATGCAAGATTGTGATGTCCCGTGAGGTGACTGGCGGTGGAGTTATGCCTGACTCGCCGGGTCTATGAAGGCCCGAGGTGCGGAAAGGCCAGAGGCGGAAGTAAATTGTTAACATGAAAGCCGTAGAATGTTCATGAGCTGACGCACGGGAGAAGAAGGAGCTGGCTGAACTTGAGGCCTACATCCATGCATAAGAGGTTGCCATAGATAATAGGATCAGTAAACAATCCTATTCGTACTACGTACTCCGTTCTTCGAAGTAACATAAGGTGCTTGGACAGACGACGGTCGCTTCCGCACTGGCCAATTGGTCAGTCAACCGGGTTCATCGGGGAAAGCAGTCGAAGCGATGATGAGGACTGTGCGGATTGCAACAGGAACTCGTGACAGAGAAATGGAGACATTTCGAAGCGAACTTGGCGAAGAAGGCAGAGAGGGGCATAGTGACACCTTGGCTCAACTCTGTACCGGCGGGATGTAACCGGGGCGAGCTCAACCATGTTGATTTCGCAATCTCGGAGGCCCACTTGGACGATACCATAGAGAACGGCATATAGGGCCCTAACGGATATGGTGTAACTCAAATGAGAGATTTTCTGTGTAGCAAACTTATGCAACATACAGAGTCGTTTGCAGTGCCACGGTGCTTGCCAGTTAACTCTAAACAGCTCATGACGAAACGAGTTGAGAGATTTGTTAAAGTGGTCTGAGAACTACACGTGCGAGAGAGGGAGAGAGACATCAGATGAACTAGTGTAGGGAAAGGTCTAGGCCAATTTTTTTCTTTATTTTTTTTTTATTTTTTTTGCATGACACGAACCACATCCATTTCTCACGAGTCACCAGTACCAAGACGCCGGATCCAACGGCGCGGGAATGTGGGAACTCCCAGCCCCGGCCCATGCAAGCTTTGGTTTGCCGCCAAGTCCAAGCCTCGACGCCTGCCAAAGACCATCGATCGGCGGGATTGGCTGGAACCAAAGGAGCGGAAGGAAGGGAGGGAAGCAAGGAGCCACGGGCTTAAAGCAAAAGAGGCTCAAGGCCTCGAACGTGTCCGATGATCATCGATGCGGTCTACGGAATATAGGTGCTAGTTTACTACGGATAGTGGCAAAAGGGATTGTTTGTGTGCTTCTGGTGATGTGCCAGAGCGAAACGCCCCCCCCGACAAAGACTTTGTCTGGTTTTCCTTTACCCCTGAGTTGAAGCTTGTAGCCGAAGCTAGAGTTTGAAGTTGTTTAATGAGGGAACGAAAAAGCATTGTGCAATGTTTGATTGGCCATACCCCGCACCAGACTACCAACATGAGTTCTCGCCCAGAAACTGGGTTTGCCATCCATGACGCCTTTTCATCCCACTTGACGGGATGATCGAAGCATAATAAACAATGTCCGTTCGGCTGCAACTTCATTAATTAGACGAGAAGAGAGTGTCAGAGAAAGAAATGACAGGTGGGGTGCTCCGAAGTAGGCGAACCCAACCAAATAGGGTGTATCGTACTCTATACGGGCAGTTTCTCTCTCACTTTCTTCTGATCTGGCCCCCTCGGACACCGACTCCATAGGACGTTGAACGAGGCTGTAAGAAGAGAATTAGAGAGTACCGCGGTAAGGAGGGCTCTCAGACTTGTTGCTTGAGAAAAGTGACAAAGAGATTGAGACCTCATGAGGGAGTATCGAGCAGCCAAGGAGTCGAGGAAATGTCATCCCTGAGCAGATTTGGTTCTGGACCGCTGCCTGGACCACACGCTCGGCCCCACATGGGGTCCCTTCCATTTACCGGCAGCAGCTAAATCCACTGATGTGACATAATCTGGTAGGGCTACGTCCCAGAGAAATCCTTGGAGATCCTGGGTGTGGTGGTGTGAGACATGTCGACAGGGGCGAGTTTGTTGCTGCCCGGTCGAATTTAAACCACTCATCTGGGGTCGTTTCCAATGTCAGCGTATCCACTAATACAATGGGCACCGTTGTGTGATCCAACTTCCGCGCTTCCGCGGCTCCTGCAGAAGAAGGGGAGGAACTCAGGGCCAGGCACAGGAAACTGTTGGAACTTGGAAAGACTTGTTGACAATGTTGACGGTGTGGGGGATGCTTCCAACACACTGAGATCCTAATCCCTTCCAGGTTCCAGGCTCCCCTCGAATCCCCTGGTCCTATCAGGATGCAAAGGAGATTCGATCCTTCGTAAGTGCTCTCTCCAAAGAGCCGGGAGTGTGAGACACCACGTCTTCCAGTTTAATATCTCTGATGTGGAGGCTTGCATACGGGAGATCATCACTCGTCTCAAGTTGAATACCGCCAGCGGCAAAATATCCCGACATCAGCAGGACCGGGGGCAAACAACTCTAACTAAGAATTCGTAAACAAGATGCAAAATATATAACATCCGAGTCTCTCGCGTTCCATTTGCGTTGTTTCCCTTTTCCTCTTCACCCAAAATCGACCTTTTGCGTCTGTCACTCTTTTACACCCCAGCGGTACTCATCGACGCCTTGGCAGGTTCCATCCTCCGTTCACTCCTTCAGATCAACATCCAAGAATCCCGGCGATTTTCCAAGAAAACTCCTTCTTCAACCAAACCCAAGCTTTCAAAATGCGTTTCTCCGCTGTAGCCGTTGCCGCTCTCGCCACCCAGGCCGCCGCCTGGAGAGGTCAGGGCCCCCCGTCCGGCTCCTACTGGGGTTGGGGGAACACCGGCCTCGAGGCCAGCAAGTCCGCCTCTCCCGACGACTGCTCCGGCGCCGAGGTGACCTCCACCTCCACCATCACCCTCCCCGCCGCCACCGCCCCTCCCGCTGCCACCTCCGCCGCCCCGGTCGTGACCCCCTCCGCCGCCGCCCCTGTCGAGGAGGCCGTCAGCACCACTTCCTCTGCTGCGCCGGCCGCCACCACCGCCGCTTCCAGCGGCACCTCCGGCCTCACCTCGGACCAGCAGGCCGCCCTCGATGCCCACAACGCCGCCCGCTCCGACGTCGGCGTTCCGGCCCTCGAGTGGGATGCTACCCTCGCCTCCAACGCCCAGGAGTGGGCCACCCACCTCCTCTCCGTCGGCTCCCTGACGCACTCTTCCGTCAATGACCAGGGCGAGAACCTGTACATGCAGTCCAACACCGACAGCCCCTACATCAACGCCGCCAACGCCTGGATCGCCGAGAAGTCTTCCTACAACGGCGAGACCATCACCGCGGACAACTACATGGGCTTCGGTCACTACACTCAGATCGTCTGGAAGAGCACCACCAAGGTCGGTCTGGCTGTTGCCACCAACTCCCAGGGCACCTACGTCGTCGCCCGCTACTCGCCCCCCGGCAACTAGTAAGTTTCAATCCTCCTCAGTGGAACCAGTCATGAAAGCAGATAGCTAACAAGAGAAACAGCCTCGGCGAGAAGCCCTACTAAACGTCGATAAGGACGCCGCCATTGGACGGATTTTGATAAAATGGCACAAGGGATCACGCAGCGACAACAAAGCAGGACACCTGTTCTGGTAGCTACGCTGGCTGGGCCGTACACCAACAAACTCTTTTCTTTCCATTCTTGGACATTTTTTGTGTACTTGGGGTTGAGATATTTTCCCACGACTTGATGCTGGATTCCAAAATCAGGATCGAGGAAAAGGAGGTAGATCCTGGGTCCCTTTTTTACAAAACCAACCGCCCTTTGGCGAATTTCTTGCATGACTATAACGAGACATAGCTTAAATGCCTCACGATGCAACTTGAACTTCCTCCCGGTGATTCGATATGATGTTCCGATGGTGCTTGGCTGTATGCACATGAGGAGTGGCGTTCCACTCTGCGATGAGACTCGGGAAATTGTTCTCCTTATGGCCTTTGCCGAGTCGCCATCCGACTCTTTTGACTTTATGCTAGTGGACGTTTTGAACAGGAATCGACTTGGCACGCAAAGAACTTGTGTGTATGCCTTGCTTCGTCGCAAAAAGTTGACATAGCCGGCCGGTAAGCTTCTCCGGGAAGTGGAGGAACGGCAAGTGGATGGGTTGTACCCACGGTCCCCCGCTCTCTCGAATTGTGACGACGAACCACGCAGACTGAGTATCTGCCCATTTGCTTAGATATAGCTGTGTAAAACAAAGGATCCGGTTACATGAAGAAGGCTTCTCCTATGCTTTGACTTGAAGGCTGAGGATACACGTATTAACATCCAGTGATTCCATTTTCAAGCAGTGTCTGGTCACCCGAGTAGTTTCTCCCGGCAGGAATTTGGCACCAAATCACGAACGCCAGGCTATAGCTTCATCCATTTCTATTATAGTTCATACATTCGATACGATGACGTCTTCTGCAAACATTACTTTCGATGGTAAGCCAATTCACCAAGCTTCAATGCTCATGGTGCAATGCTGATGAGTACTCTAGACTACCTCGGGTTAAATGCATGTCTCTACGAGTGGGCAGACAGCTACGACACAAAAGACTGGGATCGTCTTCGCAAGTGTGTCGCCCCTACCCTCCGCGTAAGCTCATCACACATTCCTCCGACAAGACCAACCTAACCCTCACACCAAAGATCGACTACCCCTTCCTTAACAAGATCTGGGAAGCCATGCCCGCAGAAGACTATGTCGCCATGATGAGCAGCAAGCCCATGCTCGGCAGCCCCCTCCTCAAGACGCAACACCTTGTCGGCGCAAGCCGCTGGGAAAAGATCTCAGACACCGAGGTAGTGGGCCATCATCAGCTGCGAGTCCCGCATCAAAAGTACACCGACGAGACGTTCAAACAAGTTGCCGTCAAGGGGCATGCGCATAGTAGCAATAAGCACTGGTATAGAAAGGTCGACGGCGTGTGGAAGTTTGCGGGGCTGAGTCCCAGGATGCACTGGTCCGAGTATGATTTCGAGGCGGTAGCTGCTGAGGGGCGTGATTCGCTTTTAGCTGGGACGGAGAGGGATGCATGATGGGTGAGAGCAGTGCGAGGTCTTTGGAATGCTTGCAAGGTTGTTTGGCAGTTTTCAGGAACGAGTTTGCGATGCCTGGCATTGTATCTGCAGCTTGAGATCAAGACTAGTTTGTCAATGAACCAGTAGAATAAGCATAGGCCTTCGCCTCCGTCGGTGCCGTAGTAACCTGGGTTCATGTCGGCATCACAATGCCCGGCCTTCTTATCGAGTCTAAGGCCATGAGACTACCCCTGAGTATCTCTGCACCTCATGAGCGGTTTCGGCCCCGAGAACATCCGCTGGCAAACTCACTGAACAAGCTCAGGTTGTCGAGGGCGACCTGTAAGTGGTCGAGCTGCGAGCAGGAAGGGCCTCATCTTGAACTTCAAGTTCACATCCACAAGGTTCGTCACGCTACCGCCATCGACCTAACTGACCATGTGCTGCAGCATACCGGTTGCTGCATCCGTTTGCAGCCTCTTACTGCACAGGAAGCACTTCAGATCGACAACAATGAGGTTGGCCGCCGCCCGCACGACCCTATAGACCTTACTGCAAGTGCCATGTCCCTAATGAATGACTCGAGGAAACCTGCCGCGCGACGACATGCTCAGGCAAGGCCGTTCCCGGTAGAGGAGATGGTCTCAACGTGGTAATACACGTGCGAGCCGCTTGTCACCGTTCCTGTGCTACGTGACTGTTGCTAGTTGGTTTCAATCGCCCAACGACATGTCATGCATCCCACGGCGTCTATAGATCGAATTCGGGTTCGAGACAGCGAATGCGATAGAGAGTGGCTCTTGAAGAACCATTGAAGCTATCTAAAAGTTTCCTCTTTTACATCGCACAGTATCCTATTTAGAGTCTAGACTAGCAACTACCGACATCACCATGTCGTGCATCGACCCATTGCGCAAAGCGACGTAGATTTCGCTGGTCAATGTGCCAATAGTCTTCTTTCCCGCTTCCTCGGGGCTTTCGCCGGTTCCCAAAGTGGGCGGGTAGTCTTGCAGACCGCGATGAATCGGAACCCCCAGTGTTTTCCTGACATATTTGTAGATTGCTTTTGAAGCAACCCCGAGATATGCGCCTGTGCTTGGGTTCTCCAGAAACCGTAAGCGTGTCTTGCAGTATTCGTGACTGATTCTTTCGGCGGATTGCTTTGTATGATCGTCCATGGCCTTGAGAGCAATGATCAACTCCTCGGGATGCATGCCCTCGAGAAACGGGCGCCAGATCTCAAGTTGCCCACCTGTCGCTTCTCGCGCAGCAGTTCGACCTCGATCCTCCACGTCGAGGTTGACCAGGTTGTTCCACTTCTGGAGCAGGCTCTCGCCACAGCGTCAGGCAATGTCGTCCGCTCCGTCGGTAGCTTTGGGAAACCAGATACAATTCTGAGCAACTTCCAGCATCGCGGGTCTTGCGACGTTGCAAAAATCGAGATTGAGGCATTCCAGATCGAGAGCCTGGCAAAAGGCGTACACGTAAGTTGCCAACTTGAGGAATAAGATCTCGGTCATTTCCAACGCGTTTCTGGCAGCTATCAATGCAAGCGAGTTGATCGACTGATTGTTCATCTCAGCGCTCTGGATATGGGCGGATACTGGATGGGATAGATGGGCCAGCTCAGACATGTAAGCTGCCATGGTGATGTCCAACCCTTTCGTCGTGAAAGACTTGCTCGGTTTATCAACGGCGAGGTTCGGCGGCAGGCAGTCATTGAGCTTGGCGTTGAGAAGCTCTGTGCATTGCGCAAACATGAGTTTGCCCAAAAGCTGCATGGAGGATGAAACCTTTTCCATGGCGGAAGTGATAGCTAGCGCCTGAAAGTTCCCCCCTTGATGTACGGTTTCGGTCTCGACATCAAAGAGGGGATTGTCCGTAGTGTTATTGATCTCAACTTGTACTTGCTGTTGAGCTAGCATCAAGACTTCAAGCAAGTAACCAATCCATTGGGGCGCGGTCCGAAGAGGATATCGGCCTTTTACAAGGCCTTCGGCGTGGTCGTCCCTATTTCTGGTCAACTTGGATCCAGAGAGAAGACGTAGTATGGTGGCAGCAGCCTCCATCTGTCCCAGGTGCGGTCGACATTGGGATATGAACGGATGGTAATTCGACTGTCGACCTCGTAGTGCCTCAGTTGCCATGGCGGTAAGGAATTGTGACATTGTTGCGAGTTGATGAGCTTGGTGCATGACGATACAGGCCGCTGCGGCGCTTGTAGCAGTACCATTTGTGATGCCCAACGCTTCCTTGGCTTCAAAACGTACTGGCTCCATGCCTATGAATTTCGAGGCTTCTTTTTCAGTCATGAACTTTTGGTTTTGCGTGCCGACAACAACGTAAACATCCGAGTTGCCCTCCAAAACGCCGGCAATGTAAGATAGAGGTATCAAGTCCCCTGAAGCTGAGATGCTTGCACGCAACGGAACTATCGGAATGACATGGTTGTCCAGCAGAGTCAACATAGCTTTCAGAACTTCCAAACGAACACCAGAATGACCACGCAGCAAAGAATTAACCCGAATGAGGAACATTCCTCTGACAATGGAGGTAGGAAGGGCATGACCTCTCTAGGCTTGCATGCCAAGATGGCTTTCGCCATAAGGATCTGAGCCTCTGTCGGAAGGCAGAAGAATATCAACTTGGGGAAGCTGCAGTAGCCCTCTCTGCAATTCTTCATGGTCAGAGGTGCGCACGTCGGCACTTCCGCCAAATCCTGTTGTGATGCCGTAGATTGTAGCTCCTTGGCGAAGCTTCAGGCGCAACAGGACAGTGCTTTGATGGACCTTGTTGAGGATGTTGGCATCCGATGTCAAAGAGACCGGAGCGTGATAATGGCTGACGGCTACCACGTCGGAAAGTAATAAAGTCTGGCCGTCTACAACGCATGAGAATGTGAGTCCAGCAACTGCCGGAGATGTTTCCATTGCCCGGAGACAAGATTTAGATGTCCCATCAACATGATGGTAGGATGCGTCTTGAAGAGACAAAATATAAGTTGGAGACAAGTAAATGGTGTTCAGGTGAGTGCGAGGTGATGTATCAAGGAGTGATTGAGAGCGCAAGAGTGAGGCATGTCAGTTTAGTTCAAGGCAGTTCAACTTATATATTCCCGGATGCAAAGATACCTGAGCATGTTAACTGCAGTATTCGCTGCTCTTTCTGTGTGCGTGCCCTCATGACCATCAAGATTGGGGGCGACCAACTCTAGAATTCCACTCATCTGCGAGCTTCCCTCGACACGACTCGGATACTCGGATATTTTGCGGGAACGTTGAGAATCATTTCTTATCTTGTTCCTAGTGACACGATATGCTGCCTACAAGTTGATCAATGATAATCGTCACTATTTTAGTCAAGCGCACGGAGAGCACTCCACCGGTGGGATGCCGAAATCATAGTTTGCCCACATTTCCTGAAGCAATGGCGGTGCGAATTTTGGTCCTCTTAGCTTCTTCTCGTCGGACGCAACTAGACTGATTATCGGTCTAAAATCTGATTATTCTGCCCAGTATCGTGAGAAATCTCATGGACACCATCACATGTCTCTTGTTCACACGCAGGCACTGGCAGTGGCTCCATTTGATAAGATCTTCCAGAATCTAAGCGAATGCATCTTTATACTGCCCAGACACCCCGGCATGCCTCAAACTTTCAGAGAAGCTATTCAGACACGTGTCATAGGAGGCTTCTCCTAACAAATGGATGGTGGGATTGATTCAATCTTGGTCCATTGCCATATTCCCGTCAGCACAATGCTGCGTTCGGGATACAGTTTGGACCATTCGTAAAAACATGTCTTAATCCTCAACTTTGGCTTACATTGCCTAGCGTTCAACAAACTTTAATTGAAGCCATTCACAGTCGGCGTCCTTTGACGAATGGTGAGAACGGTCCATCTCAATTGCCGCGTTACTGCTCAACATCTCGACTCAGTACAACACTGCTTTTATGACAAGGTTGCAAACCATAAGGTGGTGAAAGTACAACTTACCCCTCAATCGCATGGCGCTTATCATTTTGAAAAAGTCTCGGGTCTGAAGCCGAATATTTATATAAGTTGCGATGTGATATGGACATCATGTACTTGCTTTCTCTCCCTCTCAATATGCCTTATATACAGGATTCAGCCTGAACAAAAAGATAGCCCAATCGGACATCTCATTTTAGCCAGCCGGAGGCGAGCTTGCAAAGCTTTGAAGAAACCATCATGGCAACATCATCACAGTACGCTGAGCGCACCTACCATGACACTTCGTCTCCATACGTTCTACCCAATGAGTAAGTATTTCTGACAACACACGCCGAGGGCGTCTTGATGTACATGAGCTTACTATGCTAGTGCCCCGGAGCAAACTCGTCTCGATGAACAAGCACTTGCCATCGAATCAATACTGGGTGGGAAGCCGTTTCTCTTCAACCTGAGACTTCTCCCGATCCAATCAAAGATTCTCGACATCGGATGTGGAACTGCAGTAGCCACTACCCGGCTCGCACGACAATGTCCTTCTTCTTGGGCGTACGGGATTGATTTGTCTGCAGTCCCTGATCATGTCAAAGCTTCAGCTCCGACCAATGTCACTTTTTTGAAAGACAACATCATGAACGATCTGTCCGAGCAGGGACTCCAGGAACAAAGCTTGGATTATGTGTTTGGGCGTATGTTGTTCCTCGCAATTGACGACTGGAAAGAGTACTTCTCACGCGTCCACCACTTCTTGAAGCCTGGTGCCATCGTAGAGCACCAAGATTGCTCTTGGGAGTACTACCGCCAAGGTACGCAGACAAAGCTTAGCGGAAATTGGTCGTGGCATCAAGCAGTTCTAGAGGAGTCGCAGGCTATGGGACTGGACATCCTGGTTGGTGACCATGCTGGGGATCACATGAAAGCCGCCGGGCTCGAAGTTCTGCACACGCAATAGTTTGAGTTTTCGATGGTGCCGTCCGAGAAGAATATTCCCAGCGCAGCGGTGGGTTACTATGCGCAACGCACTCTTCTCAAGGCCTTCCCAGACCTTCTCAGAAAGATACTGACAAAGCGGGACTTGTACTCTAATGAAGATGTTTCGAAATTGACGAAGAAATGCCTTGAGACTTCATCAGTGGAGGAAGGGATTTTTGTCAAGTACACAGTCCCCATTGGGAGAAAGCCAGCTCAGGAGTAGTTGATACAAGCAATTATGATAATGCCAGCATTACTCGTCAGGAGAACTTGGGCAACCCCTGTGTCCACCACATGCGGACCCTTGTCTCTAGCAACACTTCAATATTGAGAATGGTTGGTGTTGCACCGCTGGCCGGGCTTCCAAGCACTCTATGCCATCATCCTCACCCGAAGAGGCACATTGACCACAGCCGATAGGGCGTGGGTTTTCAAGTCCTGGGGAGGTATCGCCCGGACTCCTGCAGAAAGGCTATGAGGCTTACTCGAAGTCTTTGAGAGGCTGTGCAGGAGACTATTGGTGCTTCGGATGACTTAGCACAGTATCTTCGTCCGCGTCACGGAATTGCTGGCGGCACACCAGATCGAGGTACACGTCTCTCACCTTGATAGTCAAACTCCCTTCCGAAAACAATCACATACGACCACACCCATCGGAGAATTCGGGATCCCGTCCGCTCTCCCATAGACAAGCCGATGAGGGCCAGATTAGTAGTTGAGTCGGTGACGATCAGCGAATACCTGGTGTTGTATGTTTTTGTTTTCCTCTCCTCTCTCTTTTTGACCGACCAAGGTTGGGTGCATGTTGATGTTCATCTCCCACTTGGTTTAAATGAACCTTGATGACATTGCCCGTCAACAAGTTGGTATCGAATGAAGCTTGGGGAATGACAGTGGGGCAAATGCGGTCAATGTGTGCAGGAGGATTTTGTGATATTACAGTTTCTTATGTGGGCAACCGGCATGCCAGCCAGGCCATGGGTTTGATATGGTACATCGTAGAGTGGAAAACAGCTATAAGAACAAGCCAAGAAGGTCCTTTTCCAGGGTGTGGGTTTTTCGTATCATCTTACACTTTGCACGCGCGCCGCGCCATCATACATCATTGAGTCTTCTTCTTCTTCCCAACATATTTTTTTCCCTTCCAAACAAAAACCATCATTCACCTTGAATTTAGGCGTTGACGAAGCCCTTGACGTTGTTCAACCACCGGACGTACTCGCGCTGCTCCTTGACGTCAATGTAGTCGGGCGCGAAGACGGCCAGGCCCTGGGTGATGCCGCGCTCCTCGAGGTAGCGCTCCATCAGGATCTGCAGATCCTCATCGAGGCTGCCGAAGGGGGGCCCGGGGTAAATGTCGCTGCGAGCGTGGGCGACCTCGGCGTTGGAGGCGTGGGCGAGCTTGCCGTCCTCGTAGTAGAACATGTTGTCGACGACGATGGCGCCGTCTTGGGCGGTGGCGTCGATGTTGAGGGCGCCGGGGGTCTTGCCGGGCTTCTCGACGACGATGCTCAGGCGGCAAGGGGGAGCGGCCTCGTCGAGGTCGCCCTCCTCCTCCTCGAGCTGCTCCTCGGCGTTGGCGGAGCGAGCGCCGCCGGAGGACTGGACACCGGACTGCTTGTTGGGGTTCTGGACGTCGGATTCGAACTCCTCGTCCTCGAGGGCGCGGTCCTGGTCGTACATCTCGGGGTCGTAGTTGGCGAGGTCGGCGATGGAGAAAGTGATTGTGATCCTGAGGGTTTCTGTTAGTTTCCCATTTCGCAATACTGGTTGCTAGACGCTGCTGGGCTGCAGAACTCACTTCTCCTCGCCAAACTTGCGGGTAAGCTTGACCTCCTCCTTGCCAGGGGTGTCGTGGAGCTCAAAGGGGCTGTTGTCGATGAAGTCTTTGACGCTCGCGGGCAGCTGCTCGTTCTGCTTCACCTCCTCCTCAAACTGGAGCTCGCTCTCGAGCTTGGCGACGAGCTCTGAGTCGGTCTCGCCGGCGGCAGACTTCCTGAAGGCGGAGCTGGAGAAGGCTGATGCGCGCTGGGTCTGGACGGCAGCGCTCCATGATGAGGCCTTGATGAAGGCACTGGGGCGCGCGGTCTGTCTGAGGGAAAGGCGGGTGAGAGCTCTGGGCGCGGAGCGCGCGACGGATCTGATGGAAAGCATGATGGGCGGTGACTGGAGGTGTTGTGTTGAGCGGTGGTGATGGTTGAGGCAAGGAGAGGTGCAAAAGCTTGTTGGAGGAGGGTGGAGGTGGATTGGCTGGATCTGCCAGGTCGCAAAAAAGCTTTGGAGAGCTCCCAAAATTTTTGACATCAGATTAGAAATCGGCGAAACCTTTGGCCGGGTTACGCGGCGCTAGGTGGAGCGGGACCGCCAGGGACTTAACGGCAGGGTCCATTCTGCAAACACTTCTCAAATTCAGGCACCAGACCATAACTCCACTGCATCTGGAATCGATCCACAGAAGCACCTTGATTTTGATGTTATCAATACAGGTTCTGAGCTAAGCTCCAATAGGTAGCAACAGGATCCAGACCTTTCGACACTCAGACTTCGCTCCATGAAGTCGTGGGCTTGTCTCCAGGAAACCATTCACTGTAACAAACAACAGTTTTCAAGACAATTCTAGGAAATACTTCTAGCTGACCCGCAACTAGCTTGCCGTGAAATGGCTCTATAGTTGACTCTTTTCTCACTCAGCCTGCACCGCCTTTTCCTTTCCTTTCCTTTCCTTTCCTTTCCTTTCCTTTCCTTTCCTTTCTCTAGTGAAGACTGATATGTTGCGACACTGGTTGTGGCCGAGGGATGCGACGGACTCCCTCTTTACACTTCCAGCAGTGATTTTGGGTACAGCTACGGTCGCTACCTATGCCGGCATCACAGCTTCCAAAGACGCCGTTCTTTTTGGCCAGAAAGCAGGGTCTCTCCGATATGAGGACCGTATCTTGGTGACTGCATACACTGCAGACGCGGAGGTGTGTGATGTATTTGCACATGGTTTGCTAGATGTCTATATAAGCATATCTCCAAGTGCCTCAAATGCTGAAAGACGGCTTACATTGCAGATATGTGGAATCTGAAGATGGCCGAGTTATCGAAATTATGGAGAATGATAGGCACAGCTAGGAAGATTGGCGAGATAGTTGATCAGTCTAAATTGTAGTAATTATCCGCTAATACATAACATAACAATGACAGTAGATATGATGCCCGTAGACCCGGAGATCTGGCTGAATGATATACCATTGGAGATGACCCAATGATCCTGCGTGACGGAAATACTCCCCGAGATCCAGCGCATCAAGAGCCCAGCCGCCATCGTTGTACCGACAGCATGATGCCAGTGTTATGTTAAGCGCCCACCAGCATCCCGATCCTCTGTCCTGCGACACTCTCAGACGCAATTCTGTTCACAACATCTCACCACTTGTGGGAAGAGACTTGGATCGAGTAGAGTAGATGGGTCCATTCTCAACCACAAGACTCTGCAGGCGTGTAACTGTTGAAAGCCTCGCGAGACGAGTACACCGGCGGTGTAATGTAGCACCTGGAACTCGAGGGAAAAGCTGGGTCTTAGTATGAAGCAGAATAACGACTCGCCGACAATGTGGTCCCAGTGGCCTGGTCCAGGAGGCTTGGAGCAGATGGGATGCATGATCTGGACTTGCTTGGCGAGTCTGAGCACAGGCTGACGACGCCGTGGAAAAGATGTCGCGCGATGGAGCTGTATGGTCAGGACGTTTCGGTTCCCGGCGTCATCGTGACTACCGGCATGCAATATGGAAGCTCCATGGTTGGGCGATCTGGGATAAAGAGGATCATGTTATACTAGGCTGCAAGGTTTCTCAGGCAGCGTTTGCCGATCCTCACCCAAAGTTTCGGAAGTAATTGTTTGTTTCATGCAAAACCGCCACGTTGGCTCTTCATATGACGCTGCTTCGGTCTCTGCCGCCCGCCTTTTGAATCTCCCTCCCCCGAATGGCCATCGGTACGGCGCGCGGTTTCCCATGAAGCCACATGCTCTCCACGTTTGGCACCCTTTGCCGAAGACCCCTTTTGTGCAACGAGCACAGGAGAATCATGACTTAGACGCTAAACGAGCCAGTGATTTGACCATGCGTGGTCTGCTGTGATCCGAGCCTTGGGAACTTTCGCACCTCAACATGCACGGTTGCTGTATGTAACCGGAGAAATTTTGTCTGTTGGCCAAACAAGAAGTCCGATACAGTGCCTGAACCTGTCTGAGACAATTCCCGCGAAAATCCCGCCCCTTCTATGGTGGCACCGTACGAGGAGCCGTGTACAGAAATTGGAGCCGACGATTGATCCCCCATCCCTTGTCCCAGTGAAATCGATGATGCAGCTTCGATTCGAGGCCTGACTTGCTGGTGGCCTCGTGGTTTTCCCCCAAACGCCGAAAGAACGCCATGGTCATGCTGTCAGATGCCAGAAACTAAACTCTGGGAGGGAAGCTGGAGGTTCTGACGTTTCCGTCACTCGTGATCTTGACCCAGGCGACGGAGGTGAGGTAAGCCCATGAGCCCTCCCAGCGGTCGAGGAGGGTGACGTTGGACGAATTTGTGAGGTCAGGAAGGTCTACATAGATGTTAGCACGTCGTGAAATAAGGTACACTATGATGCAGGACGACTAACAGAACCCGATCTTGTACTCTTCCTCCAGGTTGGAGATTTTCAGCTTGAGCAAGTCTTCCTTGGCACTTGCAGGGCGGCCGGCACGGCGGGTCTTCTTGACCTCGGCGTACTCCTCATCGTACTGGTGCACAAATCTGCTAATGTGTCAGTGTTTGCTCAAAGTATGTGGGCTGTTCGGCTGCTGAGACGTACTTGCTGATGAGCTCCTGAACGGCGGCCAAGTCGAGGGGTTCAGATCCCCTCTCCTGGATAGCCTTTTGGAAGTAGGAGGCACGGTCAACTAGGGGCACTCGGTATCAGTCCTTGTGAGTTTGGATATTCTTGAACTCGGTAGTCTTACTCATGGGCTGCTCCTTCTTGTTCTTTGAAGCGTGGAGCTTTCCCAGCCTTTGGTCTCTGATGGAGGCCTTGTGAAGACGCTTGGAGTCTCTTGAGAACTCATGCAAGGCCAGGTCATGACCGTTGCGCTTCTTCGCAATGTGCTTGCGGGCCTTTTCTAATGTTGAGGGCATATTGGCGGTAGGGGAGCGACAGAGTGACTGAGACAAAATCAAGCCCCTCAATGAGATTGTTACCTGAGATCGAAGATGCTCAAGAGTGAACGAGACGCAGAATGAGATTTACGATGGCGTTGGTCTGTGAAAGTCGGTCTGTGCCCCACCGGATGAAAATCCCATCCATCTCTCCTCTGCAGTGTGTTTGTACCTTCGTACCTGTGCACAGACATTGAATGGAATGAAAAGAAGACGTCTCCACTTAACCGAAGAAGGGTCCAATGGTCTCCAGCCAAATCCGGACAGAGTGACGTTGCTCTGGATATCCTGGCCATGGCACGCTAATCCCCTTTGGGGCATTCGCTCGGCCTGGTCCTTGCGTTAATAAAAAAAAAAAGACAGAGAAAGAAAGAGGGAAAAAAAGAGTCGCGATATGAGCCTGACGCGGTCCGGTGTATCCACCCGCGTTCCAATATAGCAGGCCCAGGTCCCCCCGGGCGATTCCACCGTCCCTTTCCCGTGCAGGAAGCCGTGATTCACTCCACCTGCACACTTTCGCTCCTCCGACCTCAGCATCGTGGTGAATTTCTGTCGACCTCGCCTTTCCCCCTCTTCCAGTCTCCAACCTGTCGTCGCGAATATTCCGAACAAGTGGCATTTCCGGTATCGTCAACGTAGCGCCCCAGTGCTTTGTTTACATTTGCCCCCGGGTCACCTGACTTGGCGTTCCGACTTGCAATCCTTACGCGAACGTCTTCCCTACGCGTCATTCTCTCTCAATGAATGGACTGAGCATTGCTTTCCCATTGTCGACTCCGGCTTCTGGCCTGTGAATCGGATCGGAGAGAGAGAGAGACCTAGGCTACCCTCAGGAAATCCAAACTTGCCGACCTTTGAGGACCTGCGAACCCTTCTTGCGATCAACAATGGGCGTCTCAGGTACCTTTTCTCCCTTGCTTCGGGTCTGGCGAACGTTCTTGCTCACCGAACCCCCCTAGGCCTTCTTCCGTTGCTCAAGTCCATCCACAAGCCAACCGAGTTGAAGAAGTTCGCCGGTGAGACGCTCGGCGTCGACGCCTACGGATGGCTTCACAGAGGAGCCATTGCCTGCGCTGTTGACCTGGCCAAGGGCAACCCCACCCGCAAGTAAGTGGCCCTAGCTATGCGCTGTGCATTGGCACTTTCCAAGCTACGCACCCGTAGGTTTATATGCCTAACACTGCATCAGATATGTCGACTTCGCCATGCATCGGGTAAGGATGCTCAAGCATTTTGGCGTCACACCATACATGGTATTTGATGGCGACTTCCTTCCCAGCAAAGCCGCCACCGAGGGATCCCGCGCTAAACGCCGTGAAGAGAGCAAAAAGTCTGCCATGGAGCTTCTCAGAGCCGGAAAGTCGTCACAAGCAGCCCTCGAGTTTCAGAAGGCCATTGATGTCACACCGGAAATGGCTCGCAACCTCATTGACGAATTGAAGAAGATGAATATTTCGTACGTCGTTGCACCGTACGAGGCTGATTCTCAGCTCGTTTACCTCGAACGCCAAGGCCTCATCAACGGCATTCTGTCGGAGGACTCCGATCTCTTGGTTTTCGGTTGCAAGCGGCTCCTCACGAAACTCGACCAGTACGGCAATTGCATCGAGATCAACCGGAGGGATTTCTGTGCAGTTCGGGAGGTTTCTCTTACGGGGTGGACAGATGACGACTTCCGCCGTATGGCTATTCTCAGCGGGTGCGACTATCTTGAGGGCATCAACAACATGGGTCTCAAGACGGCGTACCGGATGATTCGCAAGTATAAGACGGTTGATCGACTGGTCCGGATGATTCAGTTCGAGGGAAAGCACCGTGTTTCAGAGAACTACATGTCTCGGTTTGCTCAGGCGGAGCTCACATTCATTTACCAAAGAGTCTACTGCCCGACGACGAAGCGGCTGGTGTGTTTAACAGAACCTGAGGAAGGCAAGGGTGTGGAGGATATGCCGTTCATTGGCGGCTACGTCGAGCCAGCCTTGGCTACGGCAATTGCACTCGGAGACGTCAACCCCATCACCAAGGAGACCATCATCCCCGCGCCCATGCCTGGCTCCAAGACCGATACGAAAAGAAGACATTCCCAGTCCGCCGAGGCCCTCGCGGCTGCCTCTTCATCGTCGACCCGCACGCGACAACCGACTAAACCGGTTGATTCGTACTTCAAAGGACACCAGCGTATTCCGATGGGTGAAATGGACCGCAATTGCTTCTCTGTCGATCCAGAGAGAGTTGCTGCTCTTACTCACAACGGCCTTGTTCCCAGAGTCTTTCCCCTTCCTAGGCCATATGTCGGCAACACTTCATCATCACAGCCAACCGCCAGCTCTCGCCCCACACGAACCGCCCGTTCAAATACTTCCCCTCGCCTCTTACGACGACGGACCGAGCCCATCCAGGACTTACTGCAACAAAACGCCCCTAGCAGCTCTGACGGAACCCGTCGTATCACTGCCGGTGATGCGACAAACACCCTTGTCGATATTGATGCGCTAATGAAAGGCGGTTCCCAACGGCCTCCCAAGAAGGTCCGTCTCTGTGCAGACACAGACATCACAGAAACGAAAACTGAGGAATCCCAAAAGAGCAAGTTCTTCTCCAAGAACGGAAGCTCAAACAACAAGAGCAAGGACAGTTTCCTATTCTCAGACGACTCCATCGACGAGGCACTACTTCATCTCCCCGACATTGACGGATGGCATGCTCCTAAGCCAAAGTCAATATCGGTGTATGAAGAGAGTCAGAACACGGATACAGGAACGGAGGCAACTGCCGGCACAGACAGCCAGTTCAGCAAGGACGGAGAGATATCGGCTACGCCGCTAACTGATGTGTCCGAAGTAGATGACGTCGAGCCGACCAAGTCTGTCTCGTCACTCCCAGAGAAGAACATGAGACGGACGTCACTACAGCGATTTGCCTTCAGCTCTCAGCCCAGCCCAGCCGTCTCAAGCCAGCCCAACACGCCGAGCACCATTGCCTCTCAGCAATCATCGACTTTCACACCCTCAACCGGTGCCCCCTCCACTGCGGCATCCTCCATCACCTTTTCGGCTAGCTCAATCGCAGCCGGTCCGTCCAAGACCACTCCGCTTCTCACCCCACTGCAGCGGATGGGAGCCCGTGCCCTCCAGCGCAAAAACCCGCCTGCCCGGCAGCCACTGTCTCCTACTAAGAGCATGATACAGCGGAGCCCTAAACGCAGTCCCCGGAAGAGCCGGCTACTCAAGTCGTTCCCCGTCAACCCGTCGTTTGTGCCTCTGCCCAAGGTCGACTTGGCCGAGGTCGAGGCTCTGAACGCGCCGTGCGGAAGCGAAGACCAGATCATCCCCGATAGCGACGGCGAGAATGATGACGATGTCTTTGCCCAAGACCTTGGCCAGAAAGACGACAGCGACTCCATGCCCAAGGCACTGAACCTTTCTCGGTTTGTATACAACTGAAGCAATCATTAACCACATGTCGATGCGATACCCACAAACGTTGCGTCATTATTTTGTTCTATCCACTTTGGAAGCAGGCGTTACGAGACACGCATCATTGAGGCGCAAGGAGCGCGACCTCCACAGGGTAGAGATAGCTCTATTCTCTTGAGCACCCGATCATGTTATCCCCCACTCCTGATTCGCAGCGAGGGCGGTATATGCCAGTGGTGAATCAAGACAAGGTCACCAAGGCGTACGGGCAGGAAGGCATACAGCATACGTTATCAATTGGCATGATAGGGGTTTTCTAGGGACCACAGAACATGAGAAGCGTGCCAAGGCAAATCAAGAGCAATGGGATAGCCAGGGTTTCTTGTATGCATTGTAATCACAGGAGACGATGGAGTTTTTAGTTAGTGATGATGGGAATATATCATGGCCGGAAGACCTTTTGTGATGAAACATGTGTTCTACTATGTGTGACCAGCTTGCAGGACTGTTGTTCAAAATTCGAACTACAACGACTTGCCCCTATGGGGTTTGGACTGAGTGTGTATCCGTACTCCGTACATTACGGGACTTGAATAAACATGCAATCTCGGCCCGGACCGGGAGCCATCCAGCCCCCAATCCCACCTTGAACCAAGAGCAGGGACCCAGATAAGTCAGTCAAGCAATGCGGCCCATTGCGCGCTCACAAAACACTTTACACTAATCACCAACAAGGGAAGACAGATACATGGGTCGCAACGTTTTACAAATTACACAGAACTCACAACACAGAATCCATGATGAAGAAAGGACCAAGACATGAGCTTGCCCAACGAGAATAAAAAAATAGTGGCGTGATGCATGAACCCTAGCCCGCCGTGCCTGGGACACTGGGGGGCATGTAACCTGAAGACCTATACCATACACAATGCTCATGATGCGCAGCAGTCATCCCTTGCCTTCCCTTTAAGATGAAAGAGAGAGGAGAAAAAAAGTCAACCTCTGTCAAGATGGAAACACTCAAGTGATGACCATGATGGCAGCAGCCAATCCTCCCCATGTTTGTTTCCGTTTCTGCGTCTAATGCCTTCCTCTTGCAAGTTTCCGTCTCAAACTCCCGCCACAAATCTTTCACGTGGCTCTCTCGTCTGAGTCCATGCTTCTGTGTACATTCATACCAAGCACAGAAAGCGATTCGCGAGCCTCACAAATCATGCTAATCATCTTCCTTCTGTGCCTTGACTGCCACCGCGTTATCTCATCCCTAGTCGAAGAGGATTACGGGGTTCCATCGTCTGTCGCTGCCTTCATCGAAAGCGCGCCTCGCCGAGGCCACCCGGCCCGCATCATTCATGATCTACTGACGACGACTGCTTGTGGCCCCGGCTGGTGAAGGTCCGTGAAGATCTACATTAAAGGTCCAACGTCCTAATATGGTCAGCGATTATTCGATCTGGTATATATTGTTCACATACCATTGGCCAGGTTGTCTGCAGTGTCTTCAAGTAAGATGATCCGTCGCTTCTTGCAGTACGACGTCTTGTCCATTATGTCGACCTTTAACTTCTTGTCACAAAGCTCCTGGACGGGCTTCTCAAACATCTCTGACAAGGCCTCGACGGCCATCTCCAGATCCTTTTGGTTATCTTCGAAAATCTCGGTCAAGTTGTTGCGCGCCAGATAAA